TGGTTCTTCCTTGTATTAGGAATTATGCTCTTAGGCCCTAAGGGTCACCGTGTGCCACACAGTGCTGCCTCACACATATGTTCCTGTGCCTTGTAAATAAAAATTCCCATGAAAGACAAATAGTGGATGCTCCATCTCTGGAAGTGTTCCAGGCTGAGTTGGATGGGGCTTGGAGCAACCTGGTCTAGTGGAAGGTGTCCTGCCCATGGCTCTACCTGCTGCATCACCCTTGAGTATGGAGGTGATGTCTTGGAACCTGTCCTGCCTAGATCTTCATCTAGCCTGCAAATTAGACATGAGAGGCATTTATTCAAACCTAGTCTAGTTCTTGAAATCAAATACCTGCTTAAAGTGACTAGGTGCTAAATGAAGGGCTGAGCAAGAGCTGGCCTCTGAGATCACAGCTGTCTTTGCCCCCAGGGCAGGGAAACAGCAAATGCCACCTGCAAGCAAAGTTGTAAAGTTCCCTGCAAAGTTCTGTTTTGGGTTGTTTTTCTTAAATTGTTTATTTCTGGTTCCAGAGAAAGAGTGGGAGAAGGCAGGGAATGGTGTAATTTGATGTGATTTTCCGGAGCACATCTTGGGTGGATGCTTCCCATGTCATTGCAGGCTTGTCCTCCACCAGCAGCTGTAACTAAAAGCTTGTCAGGAGCAAAAGGGGCAAAAAGGTGGAGACCACTGTGTATCCTAGCTCAGCTCTGGGGTTACCTCCTGCTCGCTCCTGTGCAGTCCTTGCTCTGATCTCCCCTGGGGTGTCAGAGCCTGTCAAGCCATGCTTTGGGCTGTGGCTTGCTGGGATGCACAAGGATCTGTTTTCTCTCTTCTCCTAATTCCTCTGTGCTTCAGAGCCTCTCACCAGGAAGGAGGTTCTCATTTTAAGCTTGATTGAGGCACCTGCAACAATATTTTCTAGGTGAACGTGCAGACATGTGAGACTGGAGGGATGTTCATCCCTGCAACCATCCTGAGGGCAGGGAGGACCCATTCTTTCTGGGAAATCCGGAAACCACAAGATTTTAAATTTTTTTCTTTTTTTTTTTTTCCCAATCTCTAGTAGCCCAGCCAGCTCCTTGACCCAACCAGAGACAAAACACTTGCCTTATTTTAAGGCAAAGAGCGTAGCCTTGCACCCACCTCACAGGGAGTCTGGCACGAGTGTGGGGGGCCCTGATAAGGCCTCCAGCCAAGGTGAGCCGAGGTTACACGTAGCCACAACATCAGTTCAGCTCTCCTGCCTTCCCCGGGGCAGGCAGGGGCTGTTTTGAAGCCATAACAACCTTGTACTTGTGGGGGGAGCACAGGGGGAAGGCTTTGCCTCCCGGAGCGTGGCTGTGGACAGCGCTTCCAAGGCTGCTCTGCAAGAAAATGCCACCTCCAAAAAGTCTTTTCTCCTCTTTCTATGTGTGTGGTGGGGCTTGTATCAAGATGTCCGTGCAGGAGAGCCAAGAAAGGAAGGGGAATCAGTGTCAAAGCCATCTCAAGCAGCATCCTTTATTTTTCTTCCATGTGATGCAGTTTCTAGCATCTCAGAGAGGAGAAGTTCCTTGAGGCAGGGCAGCTTTAAAGGTTATACTTGACAGCAGGAACATTTCTCTGCTTCCAGTCGAGTCCCATTTTTATTAAAATTGAAAAAAAAAAAAATAACCCCCCAGCTCACTGCTGGCAAACAGGGCGAGAGAACTTGTGATTGCTAAAAAAAAAAAAAAAGAAAAGGACAGCCCAGTCATGCTGGCTGACTCAGCTCTGGGATTAAATAAACCACGGGCAAACCTTTACAATGCAACATGTTGGATGAAGCACAGCAGGCACCAGGCTCACCTGCCTCCAGCTGGGGAGTGACAGCCCTCATGTCATGGGATTGGAGGGGATTTTTTTCTTTTTTATCCATCTGTGAGGAAAAAAAAATAAATAAATTGATATTTTTGGGAATTGCTTTGCAAGGGGCTCTAATGGGAATTATTTGCAACAGCTCCAGGTATTCAGATGCATTTGTGCACTTTTGCTACAACCAACACGTTCTGGGAAGGAATATGTTTGTGCTGAAATACAGAGAATTTATTTTACAGCTCTGCACAGAACTGTGTAAATCACAGTCTTGCTGCTCCATGCTAAACTTTGCTAAGTGTCAGGGTCCCTTCCCCACCTCAAGGGTGGGCTCAGAGCCCAGGCTTCATCCATGGCCGTGGGAAAGCTGCGTGGATGTGAGTATTTCACGCTTGCATTTCCCTTGCTCATGTGTCCATCTGTGTCTTCTCTGAGGCTAAGGGGTGTAATGGGGCAGCACCAGTCTTGTCTCCCTGAGCTGTCCTTTCCCCAGGTGTGTAACAGCCTATTCCCATTCCCTGGGTGTGAAAGAGCCCATTTCCATGCCTGGTCAGGCTCAACGTGGGTCTGGAGGGTGCAAATTCGCTCCTGGCGATTTCATACCCCAAATAAAACCCCCCTGATGTGGCTGCCTGAGCCCTTCTCCAACCTCACCCCTGCCCATTGAGGGATCCCCTGACCCTGGCCCTGGCCTTGTTCATCTCAGCAACAGCCATCCAGTCTGCAGTTGGACCTGTTCAGGTGCTCCTGAGCCCCGTGAGTTGGTCCTGCTGGAGAAACCTCCATCTGCAGCCTTTCTGTTACTTGCCCTGACCACGGCAGAGCATCCTCAGCTTGGAACTGCTGCTTGGTTATAGCTGGACAGTGACATATCCCATCATGGCAGCTCCTTGCAACCTCCTGGATAAATGCACAGAGGGA